CCCCAAAACCCCAAAACCCCAAAACCCCAAAACCCCTCCGTTCCTTATGAGATTGAAGGTTGATAAATTAGATTAAGCATTAGGATAATATTATTATTGGTATTTATTCTTAAGTTTCTCTTGGGTTCTCTGACTCTCATTTTCTATCTTCATTACATTTGTTGGGTTCATCAACCTCCATGGAGGGTTCTTCTTGCTTTCTTCTCCTAGAGAAGTCATTTTGAAGTAATAATTTGCATATTCCTTCCCCCTGATTATCACATCATAGTTGATGAGGTTTAGGAAAGCTTTCTCAAGCATGGAGATGTCTTTCAGGGTTATGTCTGACATCACTTTTGGGAAATGCACGTTTTCTAATGAATCATCGTCCCATATTTTTGACCCAATACAGAGAGTTCAGAGCACAATTCTCCTCCAATTATAAACATTCATTAAGACTTTTCACTTGATGAACAGCTTGTCGATGTAAATTAGAGAAATAATTGGGATTTCAGCTTCCATTTTTGATTGGAATGCTACATATTTCACATATTCAAAGATATCTTCAAATGTTGGGTTATAGATCACCTCTTTGTCTGATTCAGATATCTCTAAAGTTTCCTTATTCTTGATGTCATAATTAATATTAAATAGCTTCATTTCATCTTTCATGTGCTCTTTGATCTTATCAGAGTCATTTTCAAGTTCATAAACTGATTCAAAAAGAGATGTACCCTCTAATGGTTCTATATCATCAATAGGTGGAGCCATCTGAATGCTCTGGTCTTGTCCAGAGTAGATAGAGTTCTCTCCAGTTTTATCTCAAGTGATTGGATTTAGATTTAAATCAATACTCTTGGAACTTTCATTTCAAACATTCTCTTTATTATCATAATTGTGAAGTCCTTTCACAATCCTTCTCTTTGAAATTTCAGGGGATAGACCCCGACTTGGAGCATTGCTAATCACTGGAATATCCTTATCAATACTTTCTCTGTTAGAATTAACAATTGATGGGAGGTTAAATGTTTCTAGAAAGTTTATGAAAGAACTTACTTGGGTATTGAGGCTCTCATTTCATCTTATTCTGATCATTAAAGGCTTCCTTCAATAGATCATCCTTCTCTTTCTCCCTCTGGGGATAGATTATTTCTTCAGTCTTCTGAATTGTTGTCGAATCTTGATTCATGTTGATGTTCATCGGAGAGCTTTTTTGCTCTTCATATCCATTTTTACTATGGAATAATGGTGAATACTTCACGGGGGACTCTCTTCATGAAGGCTGATTGCTCACAAAGTTTGAAAATCTTCCCTCTTTGAGGATAGCTTCGAAAGTATCTAGTGAGTCCTCTTTTGCTCAAATAGCATTAAAAACTAAGCTTTTTACTCTTCCTCATCCATATCTAAAGCTTTCTTGACGCTTCAAGTTTCTTCTCTACATCTGCTAAGGTCCTCTTTATTTGAGATATATTGATCAGCAAGATCTAGCTTGACTTGATCAGGGAAGCAATAGCTATAGTTTATCTCATGCTTATGCATCGATAAATCACTAGCATCAAGATCTTTTTCAACTGATCCTTTTCTCTTATGTAATTTTTCTAAATCTTCAAGGAACAAAAACCCTCTGGAGAATGTAATCTTCCTATGTATAGCTATTGAGAGGCAGAATCACATATTTTCAAGATCTATGAAGAAGAACTCATCATTTTGAAGCTTAGTATCCAAACTATATCCTAAATCTTTGGCTAACTTCTTCTCCTGAGGAAGTAGTAAAGGACTTTTAGGAGTACATTGTTTTTCTGGAACAAGATTAGCAAAATTAATCTCTCTGTTTGGAGATTCCTCCTTTTCCTCGTCACTATCAAGGTTTGGAATTGAGACTTCCTCCTTTTCTTGAGATTCCTCCTCAGATTCGGTAGAAGAATAGTTCTCCTGGCTTGCGATGAATTCTTCTCTTCTTTTGATGGAGGTTTTAAATACAGGGTGATCTGTTCTTAATAATTCTGTATTTTCTCTCTATGAATTAGTAAGAAATCTCACATTTATGCTATTTTTATGAGTGGTGGCTAACTTTTTTACACTTGTCTTTCTTTTTGTGAAGCTTTTATGAGCCCTCTCCTATTCAATAGCACAAAGCTCTTACTTTAACTTTCTTAGCAAGTACACTTAAGTTCTTGATACCTTTAATTGATAATATTCTGCTTTGGCTACTATGTTTTCCCTTTGCTCACTTTGAAGTTGAACTTTGGCTACAAGACCTATTTCTTTTGATTTTAAATCCATATTCTGATTGTGAGTTAACTTTAGTGAGAGATTTGTCTCATATTCTTCCTTTGTATACTGAACCTCTTTTGTTTTTAATATTGATCCTAGTCTTAGAAGCACTCCCTTCATTAGTATTAACCTTATTATTCTTATTAAACATCTTAGGCAGCAACAGAGTGCGATGTGATCTTAATTTATTACTGCTTCCATATTTCTTCCTCAGCTCTTTGAGTGAAGTCCCAAGACCTATTCCGTAACTCAGATATCAATACCATGGAAAATATCAGTTGGGAAGAAATTTGAAGACTCATTTTTCCTCAAATTTTTAGTCATACTCCTCTTTGTATGTTTACTCAGTGTTCTAGCTTCATGTCTGTGGTTCAGATCTAGAATTAAAGTTAAGGGCCTTACCTCTTTTGTGATAGTGTTTGTCTTTATCATGCCTATAAAACATTGCAACATAAAGTTACCCTCTATGATCATGGCCTTTACTCTTTGACTTGACTCCAGACTTTTTATAAAGATTTGGAATTTTCCCTCCATTTGTACGGGACTTTGTAAAATTTAGTTTAGATTTCAAAACTGGTTGCCTCTCTTCAGTATTCTTCTTAATAGCAGATTTTTCATTACTTTTAGGCTGCCCTTGCCTTCCTTGAGTTTGGAGGTCAGTCTTTTCTTTTGATCTAGCTTTAGGATGGCGGGCTATGGGTTATTATAGAAATACCTGTCCTCTTCACCTTAAGTTTACTATTCTTTCTCACCATCTTATTCTTCAATTTTGAGTTGCTTCTTCAAGCTGAGGAATTATGAGTAGTGCTATATTCCTTCTTGTTGTTGCTGACCACTTTAAATTTCTTTTTCATAGTGTTGTTGATATCATTATTCTTGGGATATTTAGGCCTAGGAGCACTATCCTTCTGCTTTCGAGTCTTTTTCTCCTTCGCCACTGTATGAATAGTAGATTTATTAGCATCTCTTTTAGAGCTTTTGCCTTGACTCACATGGTTCAGAGATTGTTTCCGATTCCTCTTAGTAGCAAGGGAAGAATTCTTATTAGTTGCAACTGTACTCATTTGATCCATCCTCTGGTAATTTCTATAAGCTTGCTGCTTAGTTGTCTTAGGCCATACGCTTGGGAGCTTTTCACCTTTATTCAAATTGAGTCAAGAAGGTCTCTTTTTACTATTTTCTCCTATTCCATAGCTCCTCCTTGAAGATCTCCTCCTCATTGAGCTAACTTTTCTCCGAATGTTAGTATTCTTAATATTTCCTTCCATTTTAAAAATGTCTGCGAATCAATTTAAATTTAATTTTTAGGGGTTTTGGGGTTTTGGGGTTTTGGGGTTTTGGGG